TCACGTGTCCTTGCTGTAATAATGTCAAAGTTAACCAGTGAGGAGGGGGGAAGTATATAGAAGAAAAAAAGCGCTAATTCTATCTTTGTCGTTTTTCTTTTTTCCAAAACGCTAGCCATCTTCTACACCACGTCATCACCACAGGGAAATGATGCATAACAAAAGTTGTTATTATTACTAAAAACAAACCACCGAAAAAGTTCTTTTTTCAACGTTGCCAAAAGTTCTAAATCACAATCGCCTCGAGCTAACCAACGAAAAACGTAGAATACGATATTCAAGAATTTAATTTTGACTTTTTATCCTGTGACCTAACTGTGTAGCAAACGCTACAAATGATCACTTCCAGTTATTGCTGTACTCCAAGTTTAACCTCAGAGACGGAAAGAAATGGCTAAACAATACACATGCTCGTAGCATAAACGAGGACAGCAGGAAACCTATCACTCGAGAGCCCCCTAATATAAATCCCAAGTTCAACAGTTCATAAAAACTGACAAGAGTCTATTAAATATGAATTAACCATATAAGCTATATCAAAAACATTATCTGATAAATGATAAAACATACAAGACGCATAAGATTATGGTTTATGCCGATTTGGTTAAATCAAAAGCTAAAATCAATTAGATAAATTAACTCAAAAAAGTTTAAGTCATCTTTCACTCCATAAAATGTAGTAATTCTAAATAGTGAATAAAAATTGATAATAATGTGCTTATAGCTTCTAGTTACAGTTAACTAGACATTAGAGAACCCATAAAAGTTGTATGAAATTATATTAACATTGTTTAATGACGGCGAGATTTAAAAGTTAAACCCATAAGTGCTAATGATTGAGTACAATAAAAACTCATGATTTTAGTATAGTTTTATCCGGTTGCAAGTTACTTTATTTTGTAAGGATGCAGTCCCGTGGAACCTTCGTTCCAGAAATCGGTTCTTTTTCAAACCGGCTCGTTTTTATTCGGCCGTTACCGTCAGATCCGTGCCTAAACCGATGATATCGCTTGTCATCCGAAATACCAATCTAGTGTGGAGGAGAAAAAAGAATTAGCGGTTCGTTGGTTTTCGAGGGGAATCCTTCGGACGGAGTTTTAAGGAGAAATAAAAATATATATATATATATAAGTAAACTAAGAAAAAACAACAACAACAGCGAAAGTCCATAAAAGTGAATTTGCTGTGTGTGTGAGATGCGAGGGAAGTAGACTAACAACGATGACAACAACAAGGATGTGTTCTATATACAGACACCGAGGATCAGAAGCGTCGGATGCCGGAACCGACGGCTGACCGGATGGGGCGTATAAAAAGGTCTTGTTTCCTGTGCCGGTTTTGACCATTTGACACCCCTCGCAAGGAGACGGTCGTTCCGCGTTGCACTATTGTCTGTGTATGTGTGTCCGAAAAACAAAATCTCTCACAACCGCCATAACAAACTGTCGCAGTGTATCCGTGCACTACTATTACACTGAGGCCGGACAATGCCGCCGACTTGTTCCGGTCTCGCGGGCTTCGTGACGAAAAGCACCGCAGACGGGGAGAGAGGCAATGCATCTGTGTTTGTTTGCCGGATAAAAAGGTCGTCGCCGGGCAAGCTAGCGTCTCTAGTTGAATTATCGTGCGGAAAACAGTTGTTTGTTTGTTTCTTTTTTTTTTTCGCTCCCCTTAGCCGGTGTTCTGCTCCTCGTCCGGTTTTAGGTGTACACCTATCCACGACCGTTTCATTGCTCGGCGACACAGTGTCATCGTCGGGCAATAAAATAAAATAAATAACGCGTTTTATCGCCAAAAGACGGACGACCGGACCGTAACGACTGTAATAATAATAATAACAACTAAAATAAAGAAAAAAAACCTCCCCAAAGCAATAGTCGCCCTAAAAATAAAAAAACGGAAGTTTCGCAGCAGCGGCTTACCAGGGTTACTTATTTTTATTTAGTTTGTGTAGTAATTATTATTAGGGTATCTTGAAAAATTCCCCACAAAAGGCTTGCCAAATTTTTACATTTTTTTTTTTTTTAAACGGCATGGTTTATTAATTAAGGGACAATACAAAGGCAATGTTTGACAGATTTTAATATTTTCGTATCGCTCTACTTACAAGTACACCGAATTTACTAATCAAAACCAAAAACCGATTTAAAAAATTAGCAAAACTCAAAACAGCGACTGTATTTTCCGCATCGCGTTTTTTTAGAATAATTTCACAATGTGCCCATGAAAACTTTCCGGCCCTTAAAGTCGATTATAATATAATAGTACAAGAAATTGAAATCATATTCGGTGGGGTTTTCTTTGGGCCGACCGCAGCCGTGTCGTGCAGGACGGGTTATTTTTCCAATGGAGAGATAATATTTTAGTATCGCGGTGTCGCCGATGGTACGGAAAGTTAAACGACCCGGAAGATCATCGACCGCCGCTTTTATCTGGCGATAAATAAATAATAAATATTAATACTATAATAGTAATGATAACAATATAGTGTTTATCAACGCTTAACGTTATAGATCGCTGTAATAATATTCACAAAATGCGACCGAAAACCTGTGTTGAATACGCGTCGCAGCGATCCGAGTTAAGTATTTAAAACTGGCAATTTAAGAGAAAAAGATAACGGACCGCCCAAGTACGCTGAAATGTGTACAGCAACATAACCGTGGCTGAAAAAGTAAATTGGGTATGGGCGACCAAATCGATTTATAACTATTATTTTTTCAATCTTTCCTTAGACATGTTTTTTTTAAACAAAAAAGTAAAAACGGACCGCGACCAAGCTCCTTAGTGATTTATTTAGCGTTAATAACTTAATCACGAACTTTTTGTTTTATTAATTAAAAATAGATAATTATTAAAAATACTTTATAACGGCTCACAATAATTTGCTGAAAATGACGGCTAGTTGATATCTAGTTTTGAATAACCATTTTTAAAGTTATTAAAGTTTAAAGTTTAGAACAGGGAAAATGATGGAAGTATTCAACTCGACCGCACTCCACTTAATTTAAAATTTTAATAGATCTAAAAGTATAAGAAATGATAATTTTTAAAAGCCTTGTATCTTCTGAGATATAGAACGGGTCGCATAGTTAACCAATCACCCTGTACAAGAATAATCGGTTTAACGGATTACTGGCGCAGCATGATCTACACTCGACGTCGATGCATAAAACAAAAATTATGCACTATAATATAATATGTCCTTGACAACAAACATGCTAAATCGTTATTATTTTGTGATCGAATAATAATATTAATAATATGAATAAAATTAAACGCTGAAATTATAATAATTAAAAAAACAATAAATAAATAACAAAAACCAATGCAAATAAATCAAAGTGTAATGACTGTGTACCTACTTATATTATTAAACTTTGCCTACATGTTTTTGTTGTAATAACTCTGAGTAAATTATTGTAGGTACCTAAAGGTATGAAAAGATGTCGTGACTAAAAGGCGGATATTTAATATTATTTGCTTTATTTATTTGTTCAATATTTTTATCCGGATAGCTAGTTTAGATTTATGATTGTTTTGAATAAATTCCAGTTTTTATTACACAGGCGTGCATGTCCATAAACGATATTAAAATTTAAAGTTATGTTAAATAATAAGTATATTATAACTGTGGTGTACAGAATAACAAAAGTTAAACAATATTGCATTTTAAATCTTGTTTAATCTCTAAGATATTTAACAAGGACGTCTAAGCAAAATTAATAAACTACATAATATTATAATAGCTAATAATCTTTGTTGAGTGGTCAGGGAACTTAAACGGCTGTAGAAGGATCCCAATTCCGAACTTAAGTTTCATACTAAGCTTTTGAATTATTAGAACTGTCTTTTTTTTAGAGAAAATTTAGTTTGATCGGATTTTTTTTTTTGTTATATATAAACTGAGTTTTAGAGACGGGCTGAATCGCTTTTTAAATAGCTGGCAATCTTATTAGCTGTTATTGTGGATTGCTTTTTTGTCGAAGAAATAATGATTAAGAGACCAGTGTTACCAGCACTAATCAATTTTATTTTGAATGACAACTTGCCTTCTCTTGTATTATAATTTGGGTAATAGTTTAGGATAACATTGAAAGAATTCTATAAATTGCCTCTATTCATGCAGACCAATTTTAAAGACTAAACACGGTGATGGCCAATTAGGCCATTGTAGTTTTTCAAAGTTCGCCAGTTACTGGAAAAATAAGTCTCTGGTTATTTCTATTCATCAATATTGTCGAGAGAGAACACCTTTGGCCATAAGTCATAGATGTATAGTTTATATCATATTGCAGATCACATAGTAACTCGATGACAAGATTAAAATAATTGTTATAAAAACGGTTTAATTAACTCCCCTCCCCCCAAAAAACACATAACTTATATTAAGAACTCGTTAAGAGGAATTGATATTTACATTAAAAAAAAAAAATACAAAAATTTGATTGTGCAAATCGGTATATCACGAAAGGCACCGTTCTAAAACTGTGCATCTAATTAAATGTTTGACTAGGTACTGTTAAGAAAAAATATACATTGGTCTTATTTATTTATTTAACTCCCAACCTAACACTAAAAATAAAAACAAGCAAAAAAAAAAATTGAAGAGCTCTTTTAAAAATATTTAATAACAATATAATATGTAATAATAATTATTAAGAGTATGGAGATGAAGCTATAGGGTTATTAAGTTGCCTATTTGTAGCGCCTGCTTGTAATAATGTAATCTGAAACTATGGTTTTCGATTGCCATCCGTTATTATTAAACAATGTACATAACATTATAATAAGTTATTATATTTTATTTTACAATAGTGTTAGCTTATTTTTGATCATCGCTTGTCTTTGGCATCATTATGCTACACATAATATTATTGACTAAACAGATTCCTACATATGATAGCTTATTCATTACGCATAAGGGCACGTATTGAACTCATCGTTTAATTTACCTGGTATTAGTGAAAAAAATGTATCATGCAATAATAATATCTCACCTTTTTCATTGTTGTTGTCGTAAATGCCACTCAGAACTTCTGAAAAAAAATTAAATAAAAAATCACCCTAGTCGATAAAAATAATAAAATAAAAATATTTTTAAAATAATAATTGTAATTATTTATGGAAACAAACGGGGTGTGTTTTTCGGTTTCATGTCGTGTAAAAGCGGAATAGTTGGTGGATCAGTCCGTTGCGTTGTTGCAGTTACAACATTAAACACTAAATACCGTACTAAGATTGTACCTGAACCGTTTGTTTTTATATAATACAATTCAAAGACCCTAAGTGACATTTTACAAGAAAGCACACAGCAAAGTAATAACGGGTAGTGGGTTAACTATGGCCCAGTTAATATCTCAGAAGGTATTAAACATTTTTAAATTATACTTTTTACAGTTCATAGTTTGCCCAATTTTAATATATTTAAAAAAATAAAAGCCCATCTATTATGTTTAAAACCTTATGAACAGTCTTTTAAATGGCAACGTATATATTTGATTTACTTTTTATATTAAGAATAATTTGTTAAACATTTTGTGTAGTCTATAGACTAGTTACTATTACCGGTTTAGTTATAAGTTATAACCAGTTTGAATAATTATATTTAAAATTATTTAAGTTTAACAATTTGGACAGAGAAGTAATGGGTGAAGACAATAATACTACACCCCACCATCCTAAATTTAGAAGCTTAATAACTTTGAACATAATTATCCAAAACTGGTTATCGACCAGTCAACATTTTCATCAAATTATTCTTATTTTAAAAAAGTAATAAAATATAATATACCTTTTTTTTTAAAAAAAGCTTAAAATATCATAAGGTTGTAACACATTGGGGTTGGGGTTTTTTTTTTGAAAATAGATTAAAAATGAGCCAACTACTAACTAAAAACTCATAAGAAAGAATAATTTTAAAAAGTCTAATAACTTCTGAGATATTAACTGCGGGTTATAGCTGTTAACCAACCACACAGTACTATGTATTGCATTTCTAATATATTCTCTACTCAAATTTTATTAGACCCTTATTATAATAATCTTGTAAGATATATTTCAACGAAACATTTATATTAACAATTAACCAAGTAATATAACAACTTACTATACGATAAACCGATTGTACAACAAGTAACGTTTTAAAAACATTAAATTAAAAAAAAATTATAATAATAATACTATAATACTAAATATCGCGTACACTATTTCGATTATTTATTTTAACAAAAAATCTTGTTTTTTGAGATTTCGTCATAACTTTACCTAAACCTTCACCCAGTGGAATCCAGTGTTATCTGCCCTATACATTTATGCTAATTTTATAAATAATTATGTGCTCATTTTTGGTTTATAATCAATGGTGAAACCCGTTTTCATAGTAGTTCCTTATGATAATGTCGAGAACTCTTAAGATTGTTTTTTTTTTTTTGTTATTTCATTAAAAACACAATAACACTGTATTGTCCTGTGCCGACTACATATATATATATATATATATGATGCCTTTTGCGTCAACCGCGTAAAAAACAGCCCACAGGGTAAAAGCAACCGGCGGGCTAAGCCGGGAGAGATAAAACCGAAAGACGCCGGCACGCCGTTGTAGGTACATAATATAATGGCATAGCGGATTTAACTCGGCGCGTGTCGTCATCGGTGATTTACACGCAAAAAAAAAAAGATGGAGAGAAGAGAAGAGGAAAGAGAGGCCGTGTGGAAAATAATGTCCAGTAAGCTAGTAAAAAATGCCCCTGGTCTCTATTTTTGTGAGCACTATATAGAGCGCACCATTCCGAACGTTACACCACACTTAACACGCCAGTTCAAAACGACATGGCAAATTATTTTTTTTTTTACTATTTTTTTTTTTGTGGTCAACGGTTTGTTTATATACTACAAAAGTGTATACAGCGGCCCTCCGACTAGAATTCTTATTTTGAGTCTATACAAATTGTCTTACAAATTAAAATAAACAGAAAAAACAAATGCCCGTAGATTGAAGAAGAAGTTTGTGGGTGTTTTAAGAAAAATGCAGAGAAATGAGATTTGGCCAGTTGATCTCATTTATATGGTGTAAGAACAATGATTATGAAATTAGACGATATAAGTTATCATAACTAATTAATATATAAGAAATCATAACTAATAGTTTAAAAATAATTAAAAAATATAACAATAACTATAATACCTGATTATAATTAACAATTGATTAGTTTACAAAGTTAAAATTAAATTAATTTTAACGTGTTCAACATTATTATTTAATAGATATAAAATAAATATCTATCAAAAATAAATTTGTTAACAGACAAACGATACAATTTTTTAGGAAATTATTAAAAAGAACAGTAATTTTTCGAATGTGTCTAAAACGAAACTAGGAAATGTAAAGAAAATATAGCTTCCTTACTAAAATTATGATATATATTAAATTGTTAGATATTCCGATGATAAGAAAATATTTTATAAACCTGCTGTAATAAATCTGAAAGGTCCTCGACGTTCGGATCGACCTGAACATTCCGTTTTTAATCTTTTTACTTTCTACATGTAAGACATCCAATGTATTATCTTGATTGGGTTAATGTTCACAGCGAACAATTAAAGATTCCATTGGTGAAAAAACCATACTAACATAATAAGCCATATTTGGCTTGTATATATATATTGGGCCCACTATATTAGAATTTATAATAGGACGTATAAGTGTCGTTAATTCGTACATAAATATTCCGGGAAACTGGTATAATAGTTCAAGGTGAATCTAAAGACTAGAAAAAAGAGATAAAGTATAAATGATTTTTATATGGTAATTTCGTTTGAATAAACAAAACGATGACCACCTGTTCGCAACGAAGTGTAACTGTGTAAACAAGTTTCTATAATTTTTGAAAAACTATATATAAATCTATAAAAGTTGTATATATGCATATACATATGCATATTATGTATACATCAATTTACATACCATCGAGTTTTTGTCCAACATTTATTACTTTTATTATGTGTCCAGATCGAAGCATTCAGGATAAGACAACATGAATAATATTGTATCTTAAATCTATATTGATATTATTAATGCTTTAATGGAAAATCGATAAACTTTTAACGCTCGTGTTATCTAAAGTAAATGATGCATTAGTGTTAAAATGGTCTACATATGTTAAAGTTTTTTTAATTATTAAAATCTATGTCACGAGAAGCGTTGGTTTTAATGGAATTATTTTGCAACGTTATTACTACTTGTTGATAATAATTACTAATCGAAACAAATGAAAATCTTGATACAACTCACACAACATTTTAGAATTATAATTGTTTGTGGTCAATAAAGCATAATACATAGAAATTATAACTCATGTAACTTGTAAGTAAAATACTCCTATCAGGTAATTATTAAATATAAAACATTATTAATTCTTAAATCGTTTTTTTTTTTTTAATATTCAATTTCCTGCCTAAATATATAATGTACTAATAGTCTGACAATTATCATGACAATTTTATTTTTGAATAAAATATCAGATAAAAACAACGAAGAACTAATTTATACAGTAATATATTTTTAAAAATAACTTAAAAATAACATAATTTTGATTGAATTGTTAAGGAGTTAACGTTTTTGTTGTTTAATTTTACAAATTAAGGTTTAGTTGGTCAAAAAGTTTCTTATAACAAAAATAGACGAGAGAATTACAGTTCTTATAACTAAGACTTCACACCTACAAGATATGCACAAATACTACCTAGGTAGTATGTACATATTTTATATTCAAATATCTATAAACCTAACTACGTATGCTCTGTATATAACTGTAATGTGGTTCGCAAATACTAGCTTTAGTTTTAGTAACAAAAAATTAAAAATTCGCACTGTCGATGAAATTTCAAAGTAGATTCCGATTGGATAGTTAAGTATTTAGGTACCGTCCGGAAGGTCACACGAATTAATCAAAATGTATAATATTATTATATTATGGTCAACGACCGGCGTGGGATCTAACGTTCGTGACAACATTATGATATTATTGTGATTGCACTTTTATTATTATACACAGGTATAAATATAAAAATATATTATATTATTATATATATATATATATATATATAATGTGTGCGCGCGCGTATGAATAAAGCCATCATTGTCGTCTCGTCCACTGACCGGAATACAAATTTCAATAAATATCTATACCTCTTTTTTTCACCCCACTTCCAGCATATTGTTTTGTAATAACTAATGTGTGTGTGTGTGTAAGATAACATTATAATACAATAATATGATAATATGCACACACATCTGATCACGACCTAACTAAACTGACGGATAGTATTCAACGGTGGCGTAATTCAAATCCTACTAATTCGGCAAAACAATTGTTTTTTTTTTTTTTAATACTAACAGAACCATTGATATTATCATCATTATCATTATACAATACTATTATAATGTCTCGGCGACGACGGTGTGTAGTTCAAGAGTTTTTGCGCCCGTCCTAAGTGCCTGCTGCTGTTTTTTATCGTCGTCACCGCCACTACACTGAAGCACACAGTCGAAAACGACCTTTACCCGAAATCATAATGATCGTATCGACCACCCTCCCTCTCGGATGAAAAAAAAAAAAAACTATTATAATAATAAAATATATAAACATACTTAACGGCATACACCTACGGTGTGTATATATATATATATATATAAGCATTTTTATAAAGGCCGCCACAGACGAGGGACTAAAGGATCTGAAGAATATACCTACCGACGTTAAAAGTAAGTCATTACGGAAGAGTGCACTTTGGGGTTAGTGTTTTTTATGTTTTGGATTTTATAATATATATAATAATAATTTATATATTATTATAATAATGTACGTAGCGTTTTTTTTAGTTTTGTTTTTGAAAATAATAGTATAACTAACTGCGTTTATGTATTTTGCGACCCTTTTTTGTCCTTTTCTTTTTGTTGTTGTTTATTTTATATATCATTAAACGTTTTGAAAGATTAAGCCGTTTATAAAAATACAATCCTCCGCGTTATCACCATAAAAACAGTATACGAAATGGTTTGTGGGAAATAAATGAGGTTGAAAATAATCATTTAACGATCCTGGTATGATTCGACATGATTTGTGTTTTATTCACGACATTCACATTTCTTATAATATAACTGGTATGATCGTATCCTAAATACCGTAAAAAACTATCGATTATTATTTTTTTTGTGTCTAAAAAAAGAGAAGGAATTTGGCATAGTTTCTTAGATGTTTAAAGAATTTTATTTTTTATGTGTAGGTAACATATTATAGCTACCGAAAAACAAGTGAAAATAAAAAATGTCCCATACACATCAATGAATGTAGGTGGCAGAGTTGTGCATCATTCGAATAAAACTTTAGCTAAATAATCATCTAGATAAAATATTATTCAAGTAAAAGTTATTGATTTCTTGAATAATTTCAAATTTTGTTTTTCGAATAGTTTCAAACTTAATTATTTGATTCATTAAATAATTTGTAAGTGGTTTTATCAAATAATTATATTAAAGCTATGCTTCTTATTTTGTAATATTATTTTGTATAAATCTATAATAATATATTCTACATTTGGAAAATATATAAAACCAGTAAATTTAGAGACAATTTTTTATTCGGATAAAATTTTAAAAAATTATTTAAATAAATTTAAAAATAATTCCTATTCGAATAACGTTTTATTCGTATAAAATTTTTCACAACTCTGGCAGGTGGCGTGCGATGTCATCGCCACGCAATTTTAGATTATAATAATAATATAGTAATATAGAAAATTACTTTGGGCTTTTGAAGTCAACGCGGGTGGTGGTTTTCATAAATTTTAGCTACTATAGTACTATCACCAAGAATGTCAATGTAGTTTTGTTTTAAACACATTAAACGCCTTAAATAAGCCGAGTAGTGACTAACACTACAGCGAACATTCAAATTGATCGTCTGCCAATGGGAATGATTTCTAATCACGTATTTTAATCGGTTAGGTGTTTGTTTTATTATTTATTTATTTATTTTTACGACGTTTTATTTTTTTCAAAGCTTTTGGTCATCCGTGTCCTTGCCCTAATTATGAGCCTTGCGAGACAACCAAACATGAATCACTCACGGGCACCCAACACTGCGACAACCGTGCGACTTAAGTATTCCGGCCGACCGCACCAACCGTCCGCTTGTGAACAACTCACACAGTAAAGAGCAATCGAATACCAATGGATACGTGTTATGTCCAAATATTCTTGTTTGGCATTCGTCGCGTACCCACAATGGTCTGTCTGTTGTTGGACAAGTGGCCCAAATTGTATTTCATTAATCATTGTTATACCTCACGAATATATGATTCGATTATACATATTATTAATATTATTATTTTACTCCAAAATAAAAATACATATATGTATATGACGTGAAGATATAACAAATATACAACCAAAAAGCGGTTTCCCTAAAAATAATTGTATTGACATAAAAATGTATAAAAAAAAAATAATACTAGTCAAATCTAGTTTGGTTCTCATATCTTTCAACAAAAATTATATTCGCATGAATGATTAGTGAATACTGAATTGTGAATGTTTTTTTATGTAATTGAGGTCTAAGGTTATGCAAAAATATAAGGAACTGTACAAACTATAGAATATAGCTGTATAGTAGAGACCGGCTTTAAAGAAAATGTCAATCTGGTTCAACGGTGGGGAACTTTGAAAATTTAAAGAATGACAAGAAATTGTCAGTTAATGAAATGAAAATATTGGGACGGATTGTATACACAATTAAAACCGGGCAGATATGTGTGATGACCGATGGGGAACTGTTGGCTGTTGTTGAAACCATAATATTATACCGGTATATATGAATGGAATAAGGCAATACGGATTATAATCCGGCGCCAGTATCAATTTGAATGAAACAGATTTTAAATTTTGGCCAGATTAAATGCAATATGACCACTTGTCCAACAACTAAAGACCTACTATTTTAAACACAATTCTATCAAATCGTTTCATTAATTTTTGTTTAAGCAAACTTTATTGTGTAACCGCCAAATTTCCAATGATTAATATTATTGGCCTTCAGACTTGATGGCGGTATTGGTGGTAAATCTGGGAGTATATATTAACACAATCATCGTACTATGAAATGTTAGCTACACCTATGTATAATATGAACGCACTTACCGTGGCTATTAATGTAATTGGCTAGGTACAGGTCTAACTCGCGGACGGACACGTTTATGTGGTAAGGGTTGACGCACAGACTTGGGTGCGTGCACTCAGGTGATTTTTCCAAACGCTCTCCGTCCGTGCTCTCCAACGGTATAGCCTTGAACAGTATGACCATAACGAGGTCCAACCGCCATACCTGAAAATAAAATATACACATCACACATTAATGTTAATTGATAAACGACGATCCACTACAAAAACGGTGTGCGAAAGATGATTTCGAGATAATTTGTTTTATGCAATTTTAGTCACAATATATAAGGCGAATAACTGAAGCGACAACGGGGCTATGATTTACACTTTTGCGCTGCAGTTGAAATTAAAAAGCAGTCGGTTTTTTTTTTTTTTACAAATGAAAACTGTGCACGCGGATGAGAACACGGAGGTTGCAGAAATTATCATATTTCTCCGGGATCTCGTGTCATAAGATAATGTACAACAATAATATACATACATACATACATTATGTAGGTATTGCGATCATTTGGAATATTGCAACGGCCGCTGCATCCCGTACATGGCAATAATTTGTATTCATGAAACGCCTACGATCAGTATCTCGCGACTTCGCCCAAACCAGTAGGACACCAATGCCACGGGGGATACCGTATATTATAATAATAATAACAACAGAATATATATGTATACCTACGACCGCGATTAAAGGTCAGTTACGTCTAGTGTCTATTTCTTTATCATTATAGCGCAATAATTAAACGTTGTCGTATGTGTGTGTGTATTGTTGTCATTCCGAAATCAAAACGTCGCCTCCCTATTCTGTTAAGATACTACAACAATAATATTATGGTGCCCCATCATGGACCATTGAGATCAAATTGAATTTCACAATTACCGTGTGCACGCCTACGGTCGTCGGGCGGTCGATAAATTCTATTGCTAATTGGATGCGACAGACTGGCATAAAGCTAAATGTAAATTAGTCACGGCCACCTTCGATGTAGTAATTTACCTTAACACACACCAGCCAGACAAAGACGGTAAGGACGCGAATCTGCTTAGAAGATAACCAAACGCCTATAAACTAAATATCGTCCTAATAAGTGTCCAGCTTTGTAATAATATATTCCACGACAACAAAATTAATACGAATGAACCGTATATGATGGTGTATGCTGATTTTTGAAAATACATATGTATAAACGACTTGTTCGTTCATAGAAAATTGTCTACGAATAATTATTTAAATCGTTCATCCGATTCTCCTAGATTAGCTTGCATCTCTCTACCTAGTAAAATAGAACATAAAATATCTTGTTTTTAGTTATAATTTCCGAACTACCATTATCCATCAACCACTATGTGGTCACTCTGTTGAATTTATAACTCAGTTGAGCAGAATTCAATGCTACCGACGAATAGCTATAAACAAATAAGATAGTTTTTTAAATACATTAGGGGATCCTTTAATACTACCTATGATATTTGATTATGAGAACTCAATCAATTCCTTGTAAAACTGATTGAGACAAACAAATACAAATTGAGGGCAATCATTTGTTAATGAGTAAAGTCTAAGGTAAAAAAAAAATGAGCTTTTACTACATATTCTATTTGTGTATGTATGGTTGAGAAATGTATAATAAGTTTTAACAGTGTTGTTAATTTTTTTGAATGTTGGATTACCGTTTTCAATCAGAATTTACCGATCATTCTTGTTTTCAATGTATAAGTAGGGCCCATACATTAACAGCGTATTGCGTTTTTTATCCGTTCTACTGTAACAACGCCGTGGATACTCAACAACCCGTCTGTAGTATCATTAGTAGGTAACGTGCCGGTTAGGTCTGACGGATACATAATATCATGCCCATTGTAAACGGCGATCAGAGGCCATTTGTCTTCGGTTAACGCGTAGGTACTCCGGCTGGCGATCAAATACCAACCGATATGTGACGTGGAAAAAAAACATGTACTTGGGGCCGACAGTATATTTGCAAGTCGCGCTGAAAGTAGCAAACGCCGTTTGTGTCATGTACCTTAAGACTGTTGCCGGCCCTGTGTAGGGTCGTCGCCTCCGTGCCGTAGTGGAGTAATAAATTTCAAAAAAAATAAAATAAAATAAAAACCCAACAAAACAAAACCGGAAAATATAACATGTAAATGCGGGTGTGAGGAATGTGTTTTTATTATGTATTGATTTATTGGCCGTGTTGCGCGTTGGTTGCTGAAAGGAATCACGAGTTTTTTTCCACCTAGGTCGAATCGTCCGGAAAAAAGACTTTGACGTTTTCCGACCATGACATGGGACACGACAGTAATAATGTGCACAACTAAGCTAGCCTGTATGATATAGCATTTGTAACAGTTGTAGGAAATGCTTAAAACAAAAAAAATAAGTGCTAATAGGTACTGCATTTCAGTTTACAAATAAATATACGCTTTATTTTTAGTTTCAACTAATAATTAATTCCTAAACCAAACCTCTAATTACATGGTAGCTATTATAGATTGTTAATTGCGTTCATATACATATTAATAATTTGTGAACTTGTTTATTTGAAATGATTCCGCCTCCTACTACTGGGCAGCTAACAAACATTATAATTATTTAAAAACAAGTCTTTCTCAACATTGTACACGTATTATAATCGAATATTATTTTAATCTATATTAAACGAAAAGAAACATAATAATATTGCATGAATTAAGGATATTTTTATACTTTTATGGGTAGTATAATACATTGTTGTTTGTACGAATGACCTAAACATCAAGTGTTTACAAAATATCCGATACAACTTGTTTATTAATTCATGACCAATATAATTATTTCTAGGCGTGCATAGATTCTCCTTACTGCATAATATACATTATGCAGTTTATAATCTGACTTATTTTATTTATAAATATATATTATTGATCGAAATTCTTGCATTTGAACTTGTAGTTTAATATTTATACCTTGAAAGTATAACCGTGTAACATTATGCTCATTATAGGAGTTCCTAGAAATTGTATTTATATTTTGCCTATTACCTACTAAACTATTGCACTACCCAATTACTATACATATATATGTAGCACATGCGAGTTGCGGCTGTGTGTAAATATTAAACAACCTACTAAGTAGGTATACTGCCATAAATTAATTTCCAAATTCTCCGATACTATATGATCAAGGTAATTCATAGGTACTAATACTATCGATTAAAAAATAAACGCCTTTATTATTCTTAGAAGTAATTTTTATTTATAACTTCAAGTATAACAAGGTCGATTTGTAAATGGTTAGATTAATTTTTTATAACATAGCTCTCCCATATCTTGTGATAATAAATAAAATAAAACTGCCTTCTTCAAAAGCGTGTGGAATAATAATTAATGATTAATATACAAACAAACAGTACATACAAATATATAAATCCGTTAAATTTGATTTATAAGCTACTGATGACTAACCAACTCCGAGTTGAAAAAAAATGTATTAGTTGTTTTGTAATTAATTGACTCCTATAATTATACTAAATCCAAAATACTGAATATCCCTGTTAATCGTATAGGTTCACCTTTTAGCCGGCCTACGGTTCAAAATTGCAACATTTCAAATGAATAAATTTCATAACAGTTTCGAATTGGGGCTTTTGACACGAGCATTGAGTTTTTTCTACATTTGACGATTACAATAAAATAAAATAAAATAAACGTGTCTCTCGGCCATGCAGTACACGTGTGCTATAATACACGGTATAATGTATATATTGTATAGGTAGGTATTACTTTACTCTATACTATTTAATGTATAGTATTATTATTATTATTACATTATGGAGACGGAATTATTACAAACACACTCTCGCCTATAGGTCTCGCATATGTAATGGGTCGGTGTCGCACCAGGTACATGCGTGTACACGGTGTGTGTTCGTTTACAGCGTTAAAAAACCGAACGGCGAACGAATAATAAAAAACAAAAAGAAAAAAATTCCACTCAAGATCCCACCGAGGGCTGTGAGAACGGAACTTGTTGTTGACCGTCGTGGCACGTGAACGGAATATGGGCGCTTAAACGGGGTGCACACCATACACATCACATAGATCCACACCGTCTCCGGGGCGCCTTTTCTCCAATGCACGGTCGACAGTGTCTTTAATAGGAACGTAACACAACAAGTGAAAAAAACATTGTTTAATATTATTATTGTAATCGTTTTCGCGACGGACGTCACGTACGGCCAAGGTCGACCGACCGGAGCGTGTCAAATACTCAAAGAGTACACAGCTAACGCGCGTAGGTGTTCCAAAATCAAATGGTTTTAGCCGAAAAGAAAATATCTTTACATTGACTGTTCATCATTCACACATACCATCTTGGAATTTGAAAATGTCAAAGCGTTTGACCTCAGATTTTTGAGAAAGTTGTATATGTTATAGCCCCACTCTAGATGGACCTTCAGTCTAATTTTCAGACCTTAAGTTCCAATACTACGCTGGAAACCATGCCCACCTCTTCTAGGGGAAACGGCTCACGCTATTTTTTGATTTGTCAACGTATGTATTGATAGTACCATTTTTTAAACAATACTTGATACAAATGATTTGAAACTAATTCGACTATTTTAAAATAAGCGCACAATAATTGTAAGTTGAAAAATATGTACATTTTTCGGGCGTTATTCTCGATTTTTAAGGGAGGAGGGTGAACTTATTCAATATTTGTTTTTGCCAAATTTATAAGGCAGCAAAGGAGTTTTAAAAAAATGGACATTGCAAAAAAGAGATAAATATATTATTGATAATAATCTGAAGTGAATATATAGCGTTAATTATTATCGTGCCAGGAAAAAGTGAGTGCATTTAGGACAGGTATGCGTAAAAAGTAAAGTGTTATGATGTTTAAAATCTAGTCCAGCAGTATCCACACGATTGCCAGTATGAACAGGTACAATAGTTGTATATCCACATGCGGGTGCTTTGACATGTCATGAATATTCAAATTGCTACAAATAAGTTATTCCATGACCGCGTTGATAAAAAGTACAATGTTTAGTCGAATAATCAGCAGTTAACACTACAGTATTTAAAAGACTTCTAATCTAACCTTAACACGCGGTTTAATACGGCGGGCAGATCATCGGTTAGGCAATTTAATTCCTTCCAGAACTCTTTTTCAAATAATTTCACCAAAAATATTTTCTTTGACAACTTCATGAGCTTGGCAGTTAACCCGTCGTAATTAGTAAACGTGACAATCAACTATTACAAGCGTTAACGTCTCCGACAAAGCGACACCTACCCGAGTTCCAATCGAGACTTGTAACAACCGTGTTCAGTTATTACCGCTAAGATAGTACAAATAACGTTCTATAATCTAGACAATTCCCTGTTAATCTCCAAGTATAACCGCCCTCATCATTTTTTATTAACATTTTTGTCCTCTACAAGACCAAATATACTGCATAACGGTTATCGGAATCAAATATATAAAATAATATAATATTGTAATGCGAACGAGGTTAATGCAAAACAACTGATTTCTTATTTATACTTATACAAAACGTGTCATAATTTTAATATTATAATAAAGCTGAGCTCGCCTGAAGGTCAAACGCTACGTGGCGGCTTAATACGTATATACCAATCCATATTGCAACGGTCGTAACGGATTGGGTAATAAATCCGTATTAGTTATTTAAATTAAAAAATATAAAATATAACTGAGACTTCTCGGCAAGTGATTAAGCTAAACAAATATAATATATCTACCGTATCTACTTTACAAATACCAAGTAGATGGTATACTATCATGTATTATTTTAGCCGATTATTCTTTGTAGCGTTAAATAGAAACCTAGTTGAAAAGTAGTTGTAGCTAGAAAGTCAAGAATGATTAATTTCATTTTTTGTAACTTAAGAGGGCTCCATACAGAACATTTTAAGAAGTTTTGTATAGGCAATATTTAAGAAAAAAATGGTTTATATAAATTTCAACCATGTCAATAAATTAACCGGTTAATTTGTATTACCTTTAAGGTATTATTTTTAATTTAAATAATTTTGTCTGTGAGAAAAAGCCATTTTAGCTAATATAACATACATTTTTTGTTCCGTCGCACAGGCTCAACCAGTGATTCGATAAGTAATATGAAAACAGATTTGAATTTGTCATAAAATTCACTTGAGATCGGTCGACGTACTTTTTTGATATCTTATTCCTACTATGTATAAAACACGTTTGAACATTTTATAAAATTTCAACATTTTAAAATAAAATTTAGAAAGGGTTAATATTAAAAATTGAAAAAAGCACTTCGACCGATCCTAAGTAAACTTCATGACAAATTCAAATCTGTTTTTAGATTGCTTATCGGATCACTGGTTAGGCCTGTGCGATGGAATGAAAATTATGTATTTTGACTGAAAAAATGGTCTGTATGGAGCCCCCTTAAGATAAGTGAGCTTAAGAGAATTCGGAAAGAGAGCTCTAGTCTGTTTTTTTTTCAACTACGTGCTGTGCGCTAGTAGTAGAGTGTTCTTCAGTTTTTCTTAACTGTGCTACGAACAAGGGGCGGTATAGACGGCTAAAGGCGAACCGGGGTTTTGTTTTTAGCGGCGGCTCGGATGGCTGGTATAGGTTAATCGGGTAACGCGCGGATGACGATTAACGGGCGACGTTTACTGTCGTTGCATATATTATTACAATATTATACGGCGAATTGAATGCACGCATGTCGTCGGTGTTGTAGATTTGTAGAGAGGGCGAAATCTCGTATGCAAGACATTAAATTCCGGGCGCAAACAGTCGGCGGCGGTGGACGATTAGACCGGAGTGATATAGGCGTCACGGAAGCAACATTTTAACGTCGATTTATCGCGTCCACCCCTCTTAAAAACACAAGTCGGCACATTTCAATTTCAAAAGAGGGCTCTCTCTGATCTCCGTGTATCTCTCTCTACACGCCACAACACACAAATACAAATTTTCCTGCTCTGTCGACAACAAACGACATGTCCAATTTCACCAATAATAACAAAGTACATTGCGATGCAGTTGTTTGGTTGTAAATTTATTATTTTTTTTTTAATATATCCCACCGGAAAAAAGTCGACCTCGTACTCTTTGCGTTGAACAATATCATAGAATAAAACTGAATACTAGTATTAAAGTTGTGTTACAGTTATTCTACGATAATATCAAACCGTGTGATAACGGAATGTTCTTAAATGGTTATTATTGTTTTTCCCGTTCCTTATTTAAACTTTTCTGATGCCACCTTCCCCCTCGCTAAGGTATTCGCATATCACAGTAGAGCTGTATACTCACTGTGTGCTTCCTAGTAGGAATATTATGTAACACTTTTGCCCGTGGGCTATGAGTAAGCTGTCTACGTTAATATTTATTGAAATTTTGTTTATCAATGAATTGTAAATCGTAGCAACATAATAATATTGTTTACAGGCATATTTTTAATGGATTCGTCTTTAATCTTGTTTTGAAAAAAAAATATTAATCGTTTATAGAATACAAAAAAAATAAACCATGCAATCTTTCACATTACTACTGATAGTCGATAAATAATTGGTACTTCTCAACGTTGCATGACAAATAAACCCAACTATATTCTCAAGGACTCTTGATCGCCATTAATTTACATAAATAAGCTTACGTTAATGGAACTCAAATACGATACGTACGTACTGAAAAACGATTTCGGTTTTTTTAATAAAATAATTTGAGTATACATTTTATTGTATAAGCTTATTAAGTTTTTGAAAATCAGCCTCATCTTATAAACTATGAAACGTAGAAATGATTGATCATAATGGTATAATATATGTTAGACTGTACGTTTGTCACAATTTGTTTTGTTATATAACTCAAATAGCTGATTTTGTTGTTGTTACCAAGGCTGATTATTAACGAGTTATTACGTTTGAGAGTTTAATTAAAATTGTTTACATACTTATTTATTTTCTGTTATAAATAACTTAATCGTAAACCTTACTGTTAATTTTAAAAATAACAATCTACGTGAAGGCGTGGAGAATAGTATGTTTTATTAAATTAATTGGAATAATTAGTTATTTTTTAACTTGAGTAACTATAAAATTTTGTTAAAAATATAATCGAACGATTATAATATAATATGATATAATTTAATTATTTGTATGTAAGTATAGGAGGTACTCTTGTTGTTATTATTAATAATATTTATATCTAATAATTCGCTTAACAGAGGAGAAGGCCTGCTGTGAATTGTGTTTGTATATACTGTAATGTGTGTACCTACTATACGGGTAATATTTTATACGGATTGTAATGGGAACGCACTAACCTTATCCGCTTGCCGGAGACAATCGATGCGTCGCATCTTACCCTTCTGGTCGGGATTGGACAGCACGCACATGGCCGGCTTCTTGCCGGTTATGCTCAGCACGAAATCCTCCCGGCACTCTTGAGTTATGTCCTTCCGAAGTTTCCCTAAAAGCCGGGACGCCCATTTCTGCTTCACTTCGGGTTTTTCGTTCTGCAACAGCGCAAAAATCGCGGAAATCCATTAAAACCCGTTCCGTACACGACCAAACTATTAGGTATCATATAATCTCTTTCCACATATAGTATTTCTATAAGATATATACTAGTATACACATGAGGAACAACGATTATTTCGTTACCTATACACAGCCATTTGAAAGAGACACAACGTACCTATATACATTTTTGTAACGGCGCGCACTTACTCGATTAACAAATTTAAATACATACAGAGGTCAATAACAGTAAATTATATCGACCATAGCTGCCAAAGTCGGCGAGCGATCGCGGTTACGGTGGTACAAAACTAATTGTGAAAACCTCCACATGTAAAAACCCAATGGTATCCAACACGTACACGCACGTTGTAAATGTATTATTTTGTCTGTCTGTAGCTGGCCGCTATATTATTTAATAGAGTATAGTATCGTAGTAGAAAACTCTATAAATCAACATTTTCGTCCACGTGTGTCCGAGAATATTAAGTGCACCTCGGTCCTGGACGCGCATTTGTATTCAATTCCAAATACATAACATAAATCGTTTTATCGTTGTAAAATTTGAATTTCAAAGTACACCCACTCGAAGGTATTATTATTATTACTTTTTTTTATATCAAAACAAAATATAAGTGGCTAAGTCCGCCATTATGATTTAAGCAGTTAATTTTATTGCGCTTAATTACACAACACAATAATATTATCATATAATAGTATTATGATTACAATAACGATGCAGTTTTATCCTATTGAGGTCTCCAGAAAGCGGTGCATAAGATTTGCAACAAATAAACGATTTTATTATAATTTTGCCCTATAACAATATTTACATTGACTCTGTAATGCTTAAAAACGCATTATGCACCGGTTGAGCTGGTTCCTTCAAGACGTCATGAGGTATACAAAGTCTAATAAATAAAAAATGTTATGTAAAATATTGACAGACTCTTCGCCGAAAAAATATAACAGAACATCACAATAGAACAAGTTTGCCATCAATTTAATTAGTATGAAAAATAACACATTACACCTGAAAGCTAAAGTCATCGCAAACACACGAATAGGATATTCAAGACTAGCTAAATCGTAGTGACAGTATTCGAGACGGACACCGGGATAACGGTTTGACAAACCCGGCTGATCAATTAGGTTAATATTTTTAGCTGCACTCCGAGTCGTTCGAAAACCCATAACCATTAACCCGAAAGGCTGTACAAGCGGATTGTGCGTTCTAAGTATTCAGCAGCCGCGGGTCGACACTATTTTTCACCATATAAGTATCGTGTGACTCGAGGCGCCCACAGTATTTAAATGCGTAGGACGACTGTTAACCGCAGTCAAAACGAAATTTGTCGTGCAAAGTTTAATTAACGAGAGTACACGTGTCCGGAGACCGAACCGTTTCAGTCTTGTACCCGGCGAGGTCGTTAATCTGTTTTATATTATATATATATACATATTACTGATCACACTCAAGCTAAGACGGATATCGAGAATAAGCTAGGAATTGAGTCCAGAGTTTCGAAAACTCTTCTTTAATCCTATGTCTTAGAATTCAGAATAGTCACATCGATTGGGAGTGTCAACACGAGTTCTTTTTATTTTTGCGCGTTTCAAGAGCTTAACCGTTATACAACGCTCATAAGTAGCTTTATTTTAGCCCATTTAAAAGCCTGCGGTTAACCGTTGGAGATTATGCGACGGCTAGCCGACCAAAATAGAACGACGTTTAAACATTTTAATACTAATTGTCAATGGTGCATAACAATAATAATAATAATAAAAACCTACTACGTCGGTTGATATTTGAGCGCAGAGAAGGGTGGTTTGGGCAAGAGCGGTTGTACATAGTTGGTTTAAACTCTAGTAAAAACGTCATTTGGATGCACCCAGACTTCGAGTAGAGATTACATATTATGTACTATGTAGTTTAAAAATTAAAACTGCTTCCTATTTCTCACGGACAAGCTTAAGTTAACGGTTTACACACGAACGGTTATTGCATATTATGGTGGCGTAAGAGGGTCGATAGAACCGCGCACGCATAGTTTTGTGTAAAACATTTCGTTATAATGTGGCAATGTAAAACACTATTAGAAATTAAGAATATGCCACACGTGTCGCAATAATAACAATAGTTGACCACTCAAAACCCTCCGAGCTCACACAGCTTGGATTTAAAAAAAAACTCTTCCAATTTTGGTTGCAGACGTTTTTTAAAAGTCAGGCCCCTCTTTCCCTATTCGCGTTAGTGCTTTTGATTTCATTTTGTTCCTTTTAACCGATTGGGTAACACTCATTTATCTATAATAGATTTAGTCACTTTCTTATGAAGCATTTACACAAAACGGCGGTCGCGAATAAATTAAAAACGGCCAATTAAGCATTTTCCCGGTTAATTGTGTTTGACGCGATTAAACAATAATCGTTGTATTTTTTTTTTTTTTTAATTTAACGACCTCCGTTGTTGAACATCGTGTCACTGATGATTTCACAAGTGATTTGGCTACAAAAAGCTTGCGGAGGGGAGGGTGCCGGGAAAAAAAATAAAAAATAAAATACTCGAAAAACAAAAATCCACCCTTTTATTATCCGGCTGTTAAACCGGAACAGGCGGGTGTACAGGTACTTTGTGGCGACCACCCTCGCTCGGGATCAGACTGTTTTAACAAATTGGTAAAACGTCACGCCGTCCTTCGGCTCGACCCCTGTATGTAGGTACAACACCGGCATAGGGAAACCTATAATAACCGCTGTACCGCGGTCAATTAACCCGTGCGGGTTTTGATATTTAAATTAACCTTTCGGGTCGGACAGTAAGTAATCGGGGGTGGTAATTATTTTTTGTTTAAAGTTGCGGCGAACGGGTTTTTTTTCAAATGTCATATCGTGCGCGAGGAGGGACGAAATGTCAAGAGACGGTAGCGGTGAATGTGCTCGTCAAAGTATATAATATATATGTACATATTATACTTACACAGGTACAGTGTACGTGCCGTGTAAACGTATATACGTGGCCGGCCGAATTGACATTGATAAAACACACGACGTGTGTGTCGTCGGACCGCCCGTTTGTTTAGGTCTGACCGATGATACCTATCTGTGTATGTATGTGTAATGGAAAATATTATTATAGTAGTGGTAAAATCATTTTTGATTTCGCACTACACCCACCGTGTTATTATAATGTTATAGTACAGTTGCGCTGTATTGTGTTGTTTGTGCGGTATTATGCGGTCGCTGCTAAAACCGTTGGACCGGAAGCGCTTGCTGCTGTAGGTGAGTGTATGTATATGTGTGTGTAAACAAATCACAAAAGAAAGCTGACCCGGCCCGTTTATTATTCACAGCCGCTGCCGGACCCGTGATGTGCCATCGCCGTCTCCATCGCCCGCAATTACGAATTCAAACAGCCCGGACGCGGCTGGCTATATTATATAGCGCGCACGTCCGACAAGAGCAGAGCTAAACAATATTTCAAAACCCGTAAGTATGGGTGGTAGGGAGGGGGGGGGGTGTCGGCGGTCATTCGATTTCGGAAACGCCCGCGTGTTTACACACAATTCGGCGACGGTCGCCGTATACAAACGCAGGCAAGTGGACCGCAAACGGAGTGACGACAGTAGAGAGAGCAGTATCTGCTGAGGGGATCGAACCGAGGGACTCCGGGTTTATAATGTAGGATGTATGTACCTACTGTAGGATATCCGTTTGCAAAAAACGCGACAAATCCGATAACGCCCGGCAAAAAGACATTACGTCGTGTACACACTAAATTTTACAAGACAACGCAATTCCAAATAAATAGGTACGCAATAACAACAGAAAGGTTTAGTGTTATCAAATAAAGTCTTACGCAAAGTGGTTATGGAGTACACGGTGAGTCTATTACACCCAGCTACACCATCCCCCCACCCCATTCCCGCCAAAATATTTGTCACTTCGAATATGACACAGAAAAAGTACATAGTTGGTCCAACTAAAATTTTAGTTAAAGCAACCATGCATTTAGTTCGGCCAACTAAATGTTTAATGTGTTGCGTCTCTATATTAACCATAATTTTAGTTGGACCAACTACGTATTTTTTACCGTGCATTAAAATATGTTTTAATATTATCTGGATATGCTGTTAAATGATGGATAAGCCGTTTTAGACGCGAAGCACGTCGCCTTTTAAATTTATGTTTTATATCTGTCACCCCTTTACGGCAGCTAAAATTTAGAAAAACACTATTGATATGGAGGCTGTGATAGTCTGATTAAAAGTAAAAACCGATAAAAAAACCTTGACGTACACAATATATTTTAGGTTATTTTGAAAAATTGCCTATATCCTACGCCTTAACATTAATTTCAGTGTGTGCGTGTCATCCACTCGACCCCTTTTCTTACACATCCGCCAATCATAAGTACATTTATTATTGAAATATTTCAATTTCTGGTCACGACAGCCCGTTGCAATGTAAATAAACCGCTCGAAAACAGTTTTGATTATGTTTTTATTAAATCTTATAAAAATCACCTATTCTATTTTGTATTTCACCATAGTTTCATACTCATTCACGAGGTTTAACCTGATGTAGGGAGTTATCTTACGGTCTATACGGAAGTGACGGTGTCCTATGAACTGTATAGTGATGTTAATTTAGTAATTAAAACGAGGATAACCTATACTGGACACACATCGGTCCACATAGCGTCATTATAGCCTGTAGGTGGTGTTATACCTATACACCCGTCGTATGTGGACTCTATACATATAGTACATGTATATACATATATATATATAAATATATATTTACATATTATAGATACTGTATACATGTAAGTCTTATACATATATTTTTAAAATATAAAATACAGAGACCGAAGAGGTACGACGACGATAACGACCGGTTTTCATTGAGAGCACAAGTGAACAACAACATCAACAACGGGTGACGCTAGCTGAGATCCAAACCTTTAAGTTCCAATGGCCGGCAATATTTATCT